ATTTGCATGCCTTTTTTAGAAATTACCCAAATTTTCTTATTTTTCGTGTGTTATAGCCCGTGAATCTGGCGCCTCAGAGCATCCATATTTTTTTTCTCAAAAAACCTTGTGAGAACCTCCGTAATGAGTTGGGAAACCATCACGTTTATTCAAACCATTTTTTTCACTCCCATTTTTGCATCTACATGCACTTTTTTAGAAATTACCCAAATTTCCTAATTTTTCTTGTGTTAAAGCTCATGGATCTGATGCTCGGAGCACCTATAATTTTTTTTCTCAAAAAACTATATGAGGACCTCCATAATTAATTGGGAAACCACCACGTATACTCACACAATTTTTTTCACGGTCATTTCCACATTTACAAGCCTTTTTTTAGAAATTACCTAAATTTCCTATTTTTCGTGTGTTATAGCCCATGGATCTAACCCCCCGGAGCATCCAAAAATTTATTTTTGACCTCCCTAATGAGTTGGGGAACCACCGCGAATACTTACACCATTTTTTTCACGCTTATTTCCGCATTTACATGCACTTTTTAGAAATTACCTAAATTTCTCGATTTTTTGTGTGTAGCCTATGGATCTGGCGCCCCGGTGCACCCGAAATTTTTTTCTGAAAAAAAACTTAATGAGGACATCTGTAATGAGTTGGGGAACCACCTTGTATAATCACACCATTTTTTTCACCCCCATTTTCGCATTTAAAGGCCATTTTTTAGTAATTATCTAAATTTTCAAATTTTTCGTGTGTTATAGCCTATGGATGTGGCGTTTCGGAGCACCCAAATATTTGTTCTCAAATTTTTTTATGAAGAACTCCGTAATGTGTTGGGGAACCACCATGTATACTCACACCATTTTTTCACGCCCATTTCCGCATTTACAGGCCCTTTTTTAGCAATTATCTAAATTTCTCGATTTTTTGTGTGTAATAGCCTATGGATCTGGCATTCCGGAGCACCCAAATTTTTTTTCTCAAAAAACTTTATGATGACCTCCGTAATGTGTTGGGGAACCACCACGTATACTCACACTATTTTTTTCACGCCTATTTCCGAATTTTCATGCACTCTTTTAGAAATTAATCAAATTCCATCATTTTTCGTGTGTTATAGGCCATGGATCTGGCGCCCTGGAGCACCTACATTTTTAGTCTCAAAAAACTTTATGAGGACCTTAGTAATGAGTTGGGAAACCACCACGTATACTCACACAATTTTTTTCACGCCCATTTCTACATTTACAAGTCCTTTTTTAGCAACTATCCAAATTCCCTGATTTTTTGTGTGTTATCCTATGAATCTGGCGCACCGGAGCATCCGAAATTTTTTTCTAAAAAAACTTTACGAGGACCTTAGTAATGAGTTGGGGAACCACCACGTATACTTGCACCATTTTTTCACCCTAATTTCCGCATTTACAGGCCTTTTTTAAAAAATAAATTACCGAAATTCCCCAATTTTTCATGTATTATAGCCCATGGATCTGGCTCCCCGAAGCACCCAAAATTATTTTCTCAAAAAACTTTATGAGGACCTTCGTAATGAGTTTAGGAACCCACACATATACTCACCATTTTTTTCATGCTCATTTCCGCATTTACAGGCCTTTCTTTAGAAATTACCCAAATTTCTCAATTTTTCGTGTATTATAGCTCATGGATCTGGCGCATCATAGCATTCAGAATTTTTTTCTCAAAAAACATTATGAGCCCCAACTCATTACAGATGTCCTTATAAAGTTTTTTCAGAAAAAACTTTCAGGAGCCCCAAGGCGCCAGATCCACGGGCTAATACACATGAAAAAACAAGAAAACTGTGTAATTCCTAAAAATTGGCTTGTAAATGCAAAAATATGCCTTAAAATTGAGGGACTATACATAAAGTTTCCCAAATTCATTATAGAGGTCCTCATAATTATTTTTTCAAAAAAACTTTTCGAGTCCCCCAAGGCGCCAGATATACACTCGAAAAACTAAGAAAGTCGCGTAATTTTTAAAAGAGAGCTCGTAAATGCTAAAATATGCCTTAAAATGACCGGACTATACATAATGCTCCCTCAACTCATTACAGAGTTCCTCATAAAGTATTTAAGAAAAAAATTGTGGATGCTTCAAGGGCGCCGATCCATGGGTATTAACACATGAAAAAACAAGAAAGTCGCGTAATTACTAAAAGTTGGCTCGTAAATATAGAATATGTTTGTACTACTCCCTCAATTTCCTACGGAGGATTCTGTAAAGGTTTTGCAAAAAAATTGTCGAGAGCCATATCACAAAAATATTTGTGGGCGCTACACACGAAATATTGAGAAAATCACCTAATTTCTGTATAATGGCTCTTTAATGCCAAAAATATGTGCAAAAATGGTGAGGTTTCACGTACTGCTCCCCCAATTTCCTACGGATGGTTCTGTAAATGTTATGCAAAATATTCATCCAGAAGTCATATCACCAAAATATTAATAGGCTAACACACAAAAATTTAGAAAATTGCCTAATTCCTGTAAAAATGGCTCCTAAATGCCCAAAATATGTGCAAAAAATGGTGAGACTTCACATACTGTTCCCCTAACTACCTACGGAGGGTTCCATAAAAATTTTACAAAATAATCATCTTGAAGATATATCACCAAACAATTCATCGCTAACACATGAATAAAGGTAAGAAAATCACCTAATTCCTGTAAAAATGGCTCCTAAATGCCCAAAATATGTGCAAAAAATGGTGAGACTTCACATACTGTTCCCCTAACTACCTACGGAGGGTTCCATAAAAATTTTACAAAATAATCATCTTGAAGATATATCACCAAACAATTCATCGCTAACACATGAATAAAGGTAAGAAAATCACCTAATTCCTGTAAAATGGCTCATAAATGCCTAAAATGAGTGCAAAAAATGGTAAGGCTTGACGTACTGCTCCCTCAACTCCCTAAGGAGAATTTTGTTAAGATTTTGCAAAAAATTGTCTAGAAAACATTACCAAAATATTCACGGACTAGCACACGTTAAAAAACTGAGAAAAACGCCTGATTCCAAATTCAAGAAGCACATTATCAAATTGGTGGCAATATGTCACATTAATAAAGAAGAGAATAAAAGAAATTAGACCATATGCTTTATACATACAACATATATCCAGTGAAATTTCACATAATAGGTCTAAAAGGGTAGAAACATACGCATATTTTATCCCTACCTCGTGAAAGTAGATAGACTCTTTTCGAAAGACTTTCAGCTCAAATAAAACAAATCAAAGTAGTAATGAAAATAAAAAATTGTAGTGAATAAAATATGACAACAATGCGGAACATACATGCAACGAACAATGACATCAGTTAAATAGTGCGATTACCTAAACATAATGAACAATATATACTTACAGATAACAAAAGTAAGAAACTACATGAATAAGGCTAATACTACGTCAGACACAGTGCTCCAGACTACTACCAAGCCTAATCTCGTTGAAAAGCAAGACAACACTCAACTTCCTACTAACTTTCTACCTTAATCCGCAACTTCCATACCCTCATATCTAAGGTCATGTACTCGCTAAGCTAAAGTTTCGCTATGTGCTTTCTAATCACCTCCTCCCAATACTTCTTCGGTTTAGCACTAACTCTCCTCATATGTACCCACTTTGTCCAACCTTTCATGGATACATCCATCAAATTGCATACTATTTTATAAGGTCAAAATCTCATTGTTTCAAGATTCATATCTAGAAGAGGTTCTCAAAGCACACTTCTCCATTACTGACTCCCCACACAAAATATATGCAGTGAAGATAAAGATTCATGTAAGATAAGCAGCAAACTTTATACATTTATGTTCTATTTTATACAACACCCCAAATAAGCACAAGTTCTTTCCTCTTCATATATAAAACTTTTTATTTCTTTTACATATAGGAAAAACTCATTATCCTCATATATATACAATCTCTTATTCTAGATTCTCCTCCACAAAGCAAAAATCAAGTACTAAATAGGTAAGTTTTAGACCTCAATGAGGAGAAGCCGTTGTTGAAGCGTGTGATCATCTCATTTAAAACTATGATCACACTTGTATTTATGCGATATTCAACATGCTCTCTCGTAGCGAGCCTGATTTGTTTTCTCAATTTACCAAGTTTGTAAATCTTTTTCTTTGATTCGAGTGATGATAAGACTCGAACCCAAGATCCTTCTCTGTTAAAATGTGTGTGACCTTCTCATCTGAAAGCTTCAAATTTTAAAGAGAGTTCACATTTATTTACTTGATTATATCTTCAACCATCATCGTTGAGTTCCCAAAGCCCAAAGGTGCATACTTGCCACCACTTGATCTGGTAGTTTATATAGGATAGCTAGAAAATATATTAATGTTACTGCAGGTTAAATCAGCCATTGATGTTGTTGATCTCTCCTACATTAATGATCCATGGATGCCCTACATTTAACAAGATAGAAACTAAAATAAAAATTCAAGGTAAACTAAAGTTCGAAAGAAGTTAACTTATACACACTATATTATAGATAACTTTCTACAATTGATGTATCGTAACAGATAATTCATCTTATTTTAATGGACCCGTTGTCTTTAAGGGGAAGGATTTTATATTCAACCCTGAACTATGTGAAATGGTCTAGATATTTCCTTTGTTAATAGTTTGGTCCAATCATGTCCCAGATATTACAAAAGCGACCTAAATTTGCCCTTCTATGTGTCCCACTAGTAGCTAAAAACTATGCCACTCCTTAGGTTGTATTGGAAGGTAAACAGAAAACAGTTCATCAAAATCAGAAATTCCCGAGCACTAACTGACTCGTGATTTTAAACTTGGAGGATAATAAGTCCGCCACTCTACCTTTTTGATAATGTTCAGATTCGTGAAGTATACCTCATCTACACACATCGTGCATTGTGCTCTTACAACTAGACCAGAACAGGGTAAAACACAAAACAATTCGACAAAACGAGAGTACTTTGAGTGAGAGAGAACAACATACTCAGAACTTGTTCAGCTGAAAATCTCCTGGAAACATCTTTACATATCATTTTCCTCAGCAAATCCTTAGCTTCAGTTGAAATCGATCGGAATATTCTTGTTGGAAACCTTAAATTTCCCCTAAGAACAGCTTCAAATGTCTCAGTTGGAGTGTCACCATAAAAAGGAGGAACACCAGAAAGCATAATGTATAAAATAACACCAGCACTCCATATATCAACTTTCTCATTGTATTTTCTCCCTAATAACACCTCCGGGGCAACGTAGTAAGGCGTCCCCACCACGCCTTCCATCATTTTTCCGTCGCACCCCATAAACCACTCTGCAGATCCAAAATCAGCAAGCTTCAAATCATCCTGTTTATATAAAAACAAGTACGGTTCAGTTTCAAGCAAGTTAGAGACGACTATATGAATCATTACTGTTCATGTCGCATTACATTCATATAATAGGCAATTATCAATTGGAAACGGGCAAGATAGTGATGAATCACAACAACAACTACATATCCAGTGAGGGTATAGTGTGCGTAGACCTGCCCATTACCTCGTAGAGGCAGAGAGGCTGTTTTCGAAAGACCCTCAACTCAAGTGCACTAAATTCAAGTACAAAGAAGAATAAAACATAGCAACTAACACGGTGAACCAACAAAATAGAGCGATAATTGAAACACAATAAACAATTAAAGACGCCAGATATCAAAAGTAAGAACTACAATCAGGTGGTAACTTACCATTAGAAAAAATAGTTTCTCTAGCACTAAAATCTTTGTTTACTGACCTATAAATCTCCGACATAACTATAGTCAAACAGGTATTTGAAGATAAATTTTCAAAATCTATGATCGAACCCTAGCTATATAAGAGTGTCAAATAAACGGACTGAGCTGAATTTAAACGGTCAAAATGATTTAAGTTAACAAACGGGATCATATTTTCATGGGCTAATTTTGTTGTTGTTACTCAGTATACACTACCTGAGAATCAAATAGGACATTATCGGGTTTAATATCACGATGAGCCACCCCCAATTTATGACAATGTCCGATTGCTGAAACCAATCGGATCAAAATCAGAGAAGCAGATTTCTCCGACAAAGGCCCATTAGAAACCCTCTTGTATAAATCGCCGCCGGAACAGAGCTCAGTGACTATATGAACATAATTTTCATCTTCATAAACTTTATACATTTGAAGAATGTTCGATTTTCCGGTGAGTAATTGCAGAATTTTGGGCTCTTTATCGAGACATTGGCGGTCCGTAGAATCAATGAGGAGGTTCTTTTGAATTGTTTTGCAGGCGAAAAATTGATCAGTTGATTTGGAAAAACAACGGTAGACCGTACCGAATCTTCCCTGACCGATTTGTTCATTCATTTGAAGTTCATCAGTTTTTAAGCTCTCAAACATTGTTAATGGAGTTTTAGAGAGAGAAATTTTGGTCGCTATGGTTATGGAGTTTTAGAGAGAAATTTTGGTGGCTATGGTTATGGAGTTTTTTTGGACTAAAAAGAGTGATGGTGTATATATACTATTTATAAGGGAAAAAGTAGAATATAAGAAAGAGAATATTTAGTTGGAAAAAGAGAGATTTAGGGGTTCTGTTAAATTTTTTTATTTTCCGTGTGGTGTTTGGTATTCGTTTGAAGTTCATGTTGAAAAGTTTAACGTTTTCTAACAAAAGCGATTTCTTATTCCAAGACTTGAACTTGAGAGGTTGAGACCTGTTTGATAGTTGATTATTAGTAGGCGTTTGGCCATGCGATATCATATCACGATATGGTATCGTGAGATGAAATCAGCGTTTGGACATGCAATTATCATGAGAGGTGATATCATATTCTCCAAAAACCATGATATGAAATCACCATGTGATGTTTGGTTTTTCGGTTTGGATCGATTTTTATCCAAACCGTGAACACCCCTACCCACATCCCACCCCTCCACCTCTCTCTCTCTTTTTCTTACCCTCTTCAATTATTTTTCTGCTTTTTCCTTCTTTCTTTTTTTTTAGTAGGCGTTTGGCCATGCGATATCATATCACGATATGGTATCGTGAGATGAAATCAGCGTTTGGACATGCAATTATCATGAGAGGTGATATCATATTCTCCAAAAACCATGATATGAAATCACCATGTGATTTCATATCATGATTTGAGATATTTTAATACAACAATTGATCCATTAGTTTATATTTTGTTAAAACAACCCCCACATTTATATCTACTAACCATTTGTTTCATATGTAAATAAAATTTATAATCACATCATTACTTTTTAAAATTTATTATTCTCACCGACATAAAATTTATTATTCTTCACCAACATATAGTCACTTTAACTTCACACCTCACAATTGTGGAGTAATAAAATCTTGAAGAGCCCATGAAAGGTGTTTCATTTATTACTCAAATATTGATGAGAAGTGAAAGTTAGGTTGAAAGTTAGATTGAACATGCAGTAAACAAATAAATTAGATGAAACAATTACTTAAGTGGATGAACAATTTATGTTCAATTTTTTTATTAAATTAAAGTTAGATGAAACAATTACTTAAGTGGAGAACAAATAATTTTGTAACAATTTATTATGCGATTTTATAATTTTTGTTTACTTGATAAGATTGAATAAACAATTAGGGCTATTTTAATAGTTTTATAACTTATGGGCTTTTTATGTTTATGAGAAAATATCCTTCAATTTCATATCATGATTCCATATCATGATATCATATCGCAAGGCCGAACGGGCCCTTAGTAAATGAAGAGATTTAATTATGAGGAAATCTATGTATTATTTTATACATATATTAATTATGCAGATATTGTAGTATCTCAACTTTTCCTAGCTTCGTTGTGTGATGGCATGATCCATGACTAGTTGCTTGATCTCTCGAATTAGTATTATACATAAACAAATATTCAAATTTGATTTTAACTGACAAGTAAACACTTAATTTTGAGTATGTACATCTAAACACCTTAACTTGTTTTCATTGTGTCAGTTAAACGAGCAGACTAACAAAATGATCATCTAGACGCCTCCAAAATTTATGTATTGAATATTTATGAGACACAACAAAAACAAGTTGGACTTAATAAAGTAATAGTATGATTTAGTATAAATATCGAGTGCAAATATTTTTTATCGATTTTAACTATGAGTGTAGTATTATTATTAGACATAATACATAAACATGACCCTTAACTTGACGTCAGCTGGTAACTATGACTTTTAACTTTGGATGTGCACAAGTAAGCACTTAAACTTATATAAAATTGAACAAATGGACACATTCGTCCTACCTGTCACCCTACATGGCAATTTTGTGTCCTACATGGCATCCTAAGTGTATTATGTCATTTAGGACACGTGTGCCTACTTATTTAATTTTATACAAGTTTAAGTGTCTACTTGTGCACACTCAAAGTTGGAGGGCATAGTTGTCCGTTGAAGCCAAGTTAAGAGTCATGTTTATGTATTATGCCTTATTATTATTAGGTTATGTTAATTTGAAAGTAATTTGATCAAGTATAGTTTTATTATATGCAATTGGCAAGAAGTTGGACTTGTTTTAATTAATTAATATCAAAATTTCTTCAAACAAGCAGCTTTTATAAAAATAAAATATCGACATGACCAAGTTTTTAATTAATTAATAATATCAAATTTCTTTTTTTTTAAATCAGTTTTTTTATTAATACTTCAAAAAGACTAAGGTTTGAAACATGTAATATTATACTGATAATATAAATTTTCTTTATGTTATAGTATATATAAATTAAATTCAGAACAAAATGTATTGAGACTAAATTTTAATCTAATTACAACAAATTCGAGTAAAAACATACAAAAGATAGAATTTGTGGATAAAATAGATAAATTGATTGTCACTCTTAAAAAAAAGTTAGGAAAACAATAGTGTTAGTTGATTGACAGTTATGACATTATATTTAAAAAATATATATATGGTGAAAGGCATGAAAGAGACACCATATACACAAAAATCATGAATTGATGATAACGGATAATTCTATCGTTAAATCGTAAAAATATGTTCGTATTTAGAATCTATCTTGATTAATGATGAAATATCAGAAAATCGTATTAGCTATGACTGATATATTTAGCGATAGTTTGACGATAAATTATCAAAAGGTATTACTCATATTACCTTATTATCATTATTATGAGTTTGATCATAATGTTGTTTATCGAACCTTCTTAAATTGACATCATGAATTCATATTAAGATATTCTCGAAATATGGCATGTTATCTGAACATCACGCTTCAAAAGTTTTTTCAAAGAGTTCTAATTGATAATACACGTTAATTAATTGTGATCGACCTAGGGAATAGAGCTCAAACTCATGCCATGTGGTTGGTTATTGGTGATCTCAAGTACCAACAAAAAAATAATTTCTACCAACACCAATAGCACAAGTGTCATGTTGCATGCATGTCTAAAACCTGGTTCGTTATTTTTTTAAAAAGTTTTCATATGATGTCAGACCGACGAAATTTGAATTCGCATCAAAAGTTTTAAATTTGAATTCACATCAAGAGTCTTACATTGGAGTATCTTATTTATATTAAAGTCCAACTAAATTTAAATTTGTGTTAAAGATATTTACCGTCTAAGGACATGATTGAGACAAATTCTGAATGGAGTTCATAGTTAGACCATTTTATATAGTTCAAGAGCAAATATTTCGGTTTTTTTTTTTTCAAATCCTAGATCCACCTATGTGTGCTCGTCTACCCTTTACCTTCATTTCTTTTAGTTTTCATCTGATGTTGAATTTTGTTTGTTGAACATCATTTGTCCGAAGTATTACGTCCTTATGAGTTCTCTCTGAACTCTTAGATATTCACTTTTTCTAACTATTTATCAAAAGACTCATCAACGATAGACTTGGTGAATATCCAATCAAAGTGTAAGTAATATTTTCCTTAAATAGAACTGACACAAAATGATACAAAAAATATAAAAATTGTAACACGTAGATCAGTAAATTAGCATATCAAATTGAGTCATGTGACATTGATATGTGAACCTAATTCACCAGAATTTTTATTTTACTGTTAATAAGACGATACGTATATTTAGTTCGTAGACTTTAATATTTATTCTTTACTCTTAAAAAAAAAAGAAAGTAGGACAGTCTCAATCTAGCAACGGGTAAAAGGATACATATTACACTTTGATAAGCTATCGTTTATCTTAATGTATAAAATAATGGGTATTTTTTCCACTTTATTTATGAGGACATAAAGTAGGCATACAAAGTTAATTATGGAAATATTTTTAACAGAAAAAAAAGTTATTTTAAAACAAAAATTTATTCATCACTCACTAAAAAAACAAAAGCAATTTACTGGCCCATGAATAATATAGTGACGGAATGGTAAGTACTTCTCTATTATTAATCAAAAGTTTCGAATTCGAATCCTGATAATAAAATCACTTTTGATAAAGAACACTCTGCCCCAAAATGAAACATTCCGACAAAATTCCGGATTAGTTGTGTCCCAAAAGGAATACTGGACACCAAAATAAGTTCTCCTTGTGACAATCTTTGCTCATAAAAATGTATCCACACCGAATGTTTATATCAAATCATACTAATACTAATTTACCATGGTTTACCTATAAACACCCGATGCAGATAACATCGAATGCAAGCAAGAAGGGTTAACAAATGCATGTGACAGGCTAGAAATCACTCGAAAAGTAAGAATGAAATTTCACTTCCTACATAAAAGAGGGAGAGACCACAAAGGATGTGATGCAACAGATGAAGTTGCTCCTCCTATAACCAAAGGTCTCGTTTCTGAGCCCTGTATTTGAAAATCCTTGGTAGGGAGCATTTCTCCCAAAATGAACCCTACGTAACACGAATCCAAATTGATCGGACTCCAATGCAATACCATACGTACCAAAAGAAAGAGAGAGACATAGGGAGAGGGGCCATTACCATGTGTTAAGGATTAGTTGCACAAAATAAAGAGATGCTTCATAGCTTACAATTTGAGCCAGAAAAAAATAAAGATCAAGTATGGTTTTCCATCATTTTCTCATACTTTTTTACACATCCACCATGGTTAAAATGATCATTAAGTTTTGGTAATTCATCTATCCACTATATAAGTAAAGACTTCTATGGCAACTTCTGTAGTTGGCTTCGCTCTCATACTTTTGGCATTGAGAAAGGACTGCAAGGACTGCAGTAAACGGTAATTTCAAGCGCTTCAACAGTTCTTGCTAAATCCCCGCATCGTGAAGCTGCTTCTCATGCTTTGGAATTAAAAAAGGACTGCAATAAACATCAATTTCAAGTGTTAACAATTCTTGCTTGATTCCCGCGTCAAGCTGGTTCTCATACTTAGTCATTAAGAAAAGGACTGCAGTAAAGACATAGTTTCGAGCATTGAATGCTCTTGTTCAAGTACTCGAATAAGTTCAATAAACA